CAATGAGATACCACCTCACACCAGTCAGAATGGCTAAAATGAACAAGTCAGGAAACGACAGATGTTGGCGGGGATGCGGAGAAAGGGGAACCCTCCTACACTGTTGGTGGGAATGCAAGCTGGTGCAGCCACTCTGGTAAACAGTGTGGAAGTTCCTCAAAAAGTAGAAAATGGAGCTACCTTACAACCCAGCAATTGCACTACTGGGTATTTACCCCACAGATACAAATATAGGGATCCAAAGGGGTACGTGCACCCCAATGTTTACAGCAGTAATGTCCACAATAGCCAAACTATGGAAAGAGCCCAGATGTCCACTGGCAGATAAATGGATAAAGAAGATGTGGTATTATATACAATGGAATATTACTCAGCCCTCAGAAAATGAAATCTTACCATTTGCACTGACGTGAATGGAACTAGAGGGTATTATGCTAAGCGAAGTAAGTCAATCAGAAAAAGACACTATCATATGATTTCACTCATTTGTGGAATTTAAGAAACAAAACAGAGGATCATAGGGGAAGGGAGGGAAAAATGGAACAAGATGAAACCAGAGAGGGAGACAAACCATAAGAGACTCTTAACTCTAGGAAACAAACTGAGGGTCGCTGGAGGGGAGGTGGGTGAGGGGATGAGGTAACTGGGTGATGGGCATTAAGGAGGGCATGTGATGTAATGAGCACTGGGTGTTATATGCAACTGGTGAGTCACTGATCTCTGAAATTAAAAATACACTATATGTTAATTAACTGAATTTAAATAAAATAAAATTTCTAAAATAATAAAATAAATGATGGTATACTTGTTTAAGTTGGAAAGTTTGGGTACAGGATTAGTGTAGGATTCTAGGATTAGTATAAATTAGGAATTAGTATAAATTCAGCCAAATGTCTACTATATCTCACCTCAGTGTATTTGGCAGTGTTCACTGATATTCAACATGATGGTCCAAAAATAGTGTAAGAAAACCTCCTATCAAATAAAGACTCATTTATGGTCCTCATGCTCTAGTGGCTAAGACACAAAAATAGGCAAAATGCAAGCTGCTAACATTTTCACTTTGGAAACATGAAAAATTAAGGAAAATATGGTAAAATGTTTTATAAAGTGAAGTTTATTTTTTAAGACAGTCCTTTATTCTGAGATCATGTCCTTTTTATGTCAATGTGTCCTGTCTCATAGAAACAGTAGTGACAGCAGATGACAGGTTCTTTTTGAATGACCTTACCTGGCAAAATTAAAACCTGGCCCACCTTCACTGTCCCTAAATTTATTTTGGAATTTTATTTGTTGGTGAAATGTCAAAGTCTGGGAATCCCTGGAGTTCTATTAGGCCTTTCCCACAGGCTTGGAAGCAAATGAGATTTTCTGTGGATTCCCTGAGATTTGGGGATTGGAGGTTGGGCGGGGGGGTCTGGTTCTCTGTCCTCTCTCACCCTGTGCTGATCATGTTGGCTGGTGCTGAAACAGGTGCTCAATAAACAATTTATTGGAAATGGTTGATCACCAGGGAATGGAAAGCTTAAATAGGGCTCTTTTGTTTGTTTCCTCCACTGATTACCAAAATGTTAAACATTTTAATTATTTTTAAAGTTGTGGTTTTTAAAATATATGTATTTTTAATAAATCAGTTATATATACAAAAGTCAAAGCAGACCACCCTTGCAAAGCAGCTTCAAAAGGGAGCCTTGCGCGGGTTTGCACACATCTGCTCCTCAAAAATATCCTCAAAAGACCTGTTTGGGCTCCGTGTTCTTAAACCGATTACCAAACCCTTTTCTGCTTTTTAGAAACCAGGAAGGAGAGAGGAAGAGACTTATAATTGCTACCTAACTCTCAAAGACAAGAAAGATTCAGGGTTGGTTAGAACCAGCTTTTAAATCGGAACTTGGGTTCTCTGCCCTCCAAAATCAAAGAAAATTTTCGAAATCACTTTTCAAGAATCACAAAGAAAAAAAAAATGCCCCTTCGAATAGGTTCTTGACCCAGAGAGTTTTGATAACCATCATCGTGATTCTATTGTTATTTCCCAGAAGCCAGCAGCAAACATTTTCCGAGGAATCGGAAACTGGTAAAAATGCAGGCAGTAGCGAAGTCCATCATAGTCACTAATCACAGAGACTCAACCCTGGGTTCTGTTACTAGGGAACCGGGAGTGCTGCTTGGTGAAGCCGGGACGTGGTAATGCTGAATCTCTCCACGCAAGAGGCTCCGAGCGGCCAGTGGGCATGAGTCCGCTTTATGTAGAAGTCAGGGCAGCCTTAAGAGTGGATGCGATTTAAATATGGTAACAACTCTCCTCCCACACACATTTTCACTGTAGAACATTCAGAAAAGAAGAATCGTTCTAATTCTACCATCTACAAATTACCTCCGTTAACATTTTGATGAATCTTCTTCCAGGCATGGATGAATAGATGGACAAACATACAGATAGCTACAACGATAGACTTACTACATGGATAAAAGTGCATTTAAGAACCCATTACTAGAGGCGCCTGGGTGGCTCATTCGGTTAAGCGTCTCCCTTTGGCTCAGGTTATGATCCCAGAGTCCTGGTATCGAGCCCCGCATCGGGAAGCCTGCTTCTCCCTCTCCCGCTTCCCCTGCTTGTATTCCCCCCCCTCTCTCTGTTATAAATAAAATCTTAAAAAAACAAAACAAAAAACCTATTAATAGTTATTTATGGAGAGGGGAGTCGGTAAGGTTTGATGAAGGGAGGCTGATCTTTTAATATACACAGACATGGATTTGTCACAACTACATACTACTACGTATGTTTTACTTCCCTAATTTTTTAAATTGCAAAAGCCCAGAGCAATCACTCTTGGGAGTAGTGGGGTCCAGTCGCGAGCTGCCCTAGGTGTGCCGTGGGGGCGCAGACGTGAGCCGGGCTCCTGCGCGAGGCTAGAGCTCGCGGGGAGGGAGACTCCGGCGCAGGAGCCCGGGGCAGAGGCGCCCGCGGCAGCCCGGCTCCGCCGGCCGCTGGCACTGCACCCGGGGCGGGGGCGGCCGCGGCCCTGGGCCCGGACGACGGTTACCTGTGCTCGGCGGCGTGACGTGTGGTGCGCATCGGCCAACGGCCACTCGGCCTGGAGCCCGCTTCGCCGTGCCGGGTGCCTCGCTTCCGCGTCGGTTCGCCCGCCTCCCGGGGCTGTGAGCGGCGGGGCAGCACGTGGGGCGGCGGCCCCAGGGCGCCCTCTGGCGGGCAGGTGCGGGGCAGGTGAGAGCCCGCGGGGCGAAGCGCGGCAGCAGCAGGGTCTGCGGGCTTCCGAAGCCAGCAAGCAGAGGGAACGCGCTCCCTTCGGGGACCTGCCCTGGTTTTCTAAGGTTTGATTTAGGTTTGGTTTGGTTTGGTTTGGGGTTTCCATTTTCTCACCGCCTTGCCTGTCCATCCGTATTTCCCTCCTCTCAGGTTGGCTTTTTGTTTGCAACACCAATTATTTTCTATTCTTCAAAAGAATGCTTATTCATTGTAAAAAAAAAAAAAAAAAAAAAGGGAAAGCACAGAAAATCATAAACACCTTTAATCTCACCATTCAAAGATAAGCACATGCTTAAAGTGTTTTTCGTCTAGTTTTTTTCCCCCATATCCAACAGTATCTATAATAGTGAGTGTGTATGTAAACAAACAGAGCAATGCTCTTGGAGAAGTCAGGCCTGGTGAACTGGCCCATGGAAAGAGAAGCCAGAAAGGCCAAAGGGCAGAGAGTAAGGGCCTCGTATCTTAAAAACCAGGCCTGGCTGCCTCTTGGCTTGATAAACCAGTTAATCTAGCCCCAAGGAAGCTTATCTTTTTTTGGCTCTCATGGGGGACACATAAGCTAAACCTCCCTCTCTTTACAGGGAGCAAGTAGGCGGCAGTGGCCAATGGGGTGGGGAGGAAAGGAAAATTGGTCTCCCTGTTAGCTTTACATAACTAGAAGGTTCTAAGAGAGTATCTGGCCACGCAGTGTGGCTCCAGCTACTTTCTCCCAGGCTTCTCCCTGCCGCTGTTTGACTCATCCTGTGTGGTCTCCTGCCTCTAGGCTGTGAGCCCCTCCAGCAGGAATACGTGCACCTGGCAGAACGCTGAAGTCTCTTTGGTCACTTTGTCTTCGTTTTCCTCCACACACTTTGTCACATAATACAAACAGCGTGCTTGCTCTACAAATGCAGCTTCATGACAACTTGCCCCTCTTCCAGCCAGACTGGGGCCTCCAAGCAAGACTCTCCTTTATGGGAACTGGGAAGTTGTCCTTCTCTCCTGGGTGTGGTTGGCTGTCGGATTATAGTCGTTGGTTTGGCAGTAGAGAATCTGCTTCAGAGTTTACATGGCACATCGCAGGTGTTCCTCCCTTCCTCTCTCTGGGTTACTTGGCCTGGGCTGAGGCAGAGAGAGGGGACTGTAGGAGGCCAGTCTGTGGAGGTGAGGATGTTGTGGGGCATGGGGATGGAAGGTCAAATCCTCTGGCCTTCAGCTCCCTCGAAGTGAAATAAAATCTCCTGAGATCCACACTGCTCAGCAATGCCTAGTAGAGTTTCCCCTGTGGGAACGCAAAGAAGGGCTGAGTTCCCCTTCAAGTTCTGCCTGGGTGAAAATAAAGGCTCAGGAAGTAAGGCCACCACCACCTAGGGGGACACTGGTTAAACTGGCTGGGCCATGCTGGTCTGACCTGGTGGTCTTTTTTGGGGAATCAGGTAGAAAATCTGTAATACCCAGAGTTATAGGCCTGGGTTCTTCTTATTTTTATTTTTAGAGAGAGAGGTAGGGAGACAGAGGGAGAGAATCTTAAGCAGGAGCCCGACATAGGGCTCCATCCCACAATCCTGAGATCATGACCTGAGCCGAAATCAGGAGTGGGACGCTTAACCAACTGAGCCACAAGGTCTGGGTTCTTCTTATGCTACGTACTAGCAGTGTGCTTAGGAGTAGATTACCTGACCTCTCCTAATCTCAGTTTGTTCATCTGAGCAATGCTCAACTTCTCGCTTCTAGCAGGGAATAGTAATGTTAACTGGAGGTTATGTTCCGTGATTGCTGTGGGGCCCAAAAGAGCCTTGAAGCTACATTTGCAAATTTTCTCAACTTAAAAGCACTGTACTTCCTTATGTTTGATTCTCCTGCATCAATGTTGAAACTTCGGAGCTAGGAGTACGGGCAGCTTGATGGAGGAGACATTGAACTAGATGATCCTTCTAGTGGCACTGTCTCAATCTTGTCATTCAAGGACTGAGCTGGAACTGTCTGTTTTGCAGTTGGAAAAAAACAAGGCTCAGAGAGGTTGAACAACTTGCCCAAAGGCACACAGCTTGGCCATGACAAGGCCAGGACTGGAGTATAGTCCATAACCAACCCGTCCTTGCCCCATCTCTAACAGGAGATGGGAAAGGAGCATTTTCTTGGGATTGTTCTGGGGTGTGACACTGTCCCCATGCAGGAGACACCGAGAAAGGGGTAGAGGATCTCAGACTCTGCTCTAAACGTTCCAAAGTGGGAGGGTGAGCCCATTATTCTTTATGCATTTAGAATCTTTTTAATAATGCTCTTCACGTGCCATAACAGAGCTGAACACTCTTAGAAGCCATTTGAAGATTTTATACACTGAGATTTCAAAATAGACAACTTAATAGGCTGCATCTATATTAAATGAGTCACTTGAAATAAAGATTCTTTCTACATTTCTCAGAACTGATGGGATGATTATCTCTGTAAGACACTGTTTGGAGAGAGACTCTGACCTGAACTTTATAAAGACCAAACGCTTTCAGGTGGGCACACTGCTGCTTTCTTGATCAGTTTCAGAGACTGAGCCCTTAGGATTCTTCCCTTTGAAAGAGAAAAAGTTAAGTCCCCAGGTGCGGAGGAGGATAAAGAGCTTTTTTTTTTTCCCCACTCCCCAGAAAGCGATCCATTGCGCCCAGGGCTGAATCTTGCAGGCTGCAGGTCCTGTCTCTGGGTCCGTGGGTTCGAGGGGCAGTTCCGATGCCCAGTCCCTGGGACCGGGGCTCAAGCCACCTTGCAGGACCCCTGGGGCCCAGCGCTTCTGCTGCAGGCTCCTCAGACACCCTCCACTCCCGAGCATCCTCTCTAGCTGCAGCACGTGACAGCTGGTCTAGAGAACTCTGCTAACACAGAGATGTTGTAAAGTATTATCCTGCCCTGGGGGAGAGAAGAAAACCAGGCTCCGAGAACAAGCCTCACCAAACTGAGCCAGTGCTAGCTGCATTTCCCCAGATATGAAATTGAGCCAGTTATGTAACAGTAGTTCAGCCTCTGAAAGCACACACAGCTTTGGGGAGCTGAAGATAGGATTTCTGCACAGGCGATTGTTTGAAGACATAGCCTGTTCTCCCCTCTTCATATCGACAGAACAAAAAGTGGGCTTTAAAGTTTTTTTTTTTTTTTTTATTTGAGACAGAGAGAATGAGAGACAGAGAGCATGAGAGGGAGGAGGGTCAGAGGGAGAAGCAGACTCCCCGCTGAGCAGGGAGCCCGATGTGGGACTCGATCCCGGGACTCCAGGATCATGACCTGAGCCGAAGGCAGTCGCTTAACCAACTGAGCCACCCAGGCGCCCCAAAAAGTGGGCTTTAAAGGCAGAATCGTCAGAGCTGCTCCTGTCACCTGCCGTCACACCACTGCCTCCATTCTTCTCGCTTTACTTCGCCCTAGCGTCTCCTAAGAGCGTGGCACGCACAGGCAGCTTCCAGGAAGTAAATAATAGAATCCCAACACCCTGGCTTTGGGAACCTCCTCTCGGATCTCTTTCCCCTGCCCAGGGTCAGCCAGCAACGGGTCAGACCATTTTTCCGAGGAATTCCAGGAGAAAATGTGGGCCAGGAGAAAAGCTTTGGATGACTCTTTCTAAGCCTCAGTGGGAAAAATATTCTGTGAACTTGAGGCAGAAGCGATGAACTTCAACCTGTAGGTTGAGAACCATGTCGATCTGGAGCAAACCATCACGAGCCCATTGGCAGCCTGGGAGCACGTTGTATGCGTGCCTCTCTCTCTCGCTCTCGCTCTCTCTCTCTCTCTCTCTCGGGTGGGGAGCTCTGTGCTCCTGCAGGACTAGTGCAGTGGGCCTTCTCTTGATCGCGGTCTTGCTGCCCAGGCTAGTGGTTTTTGTTTTTCCCCATGAGACCTAATGAAGTGCAAGTGTGTGGGAATGACAATAGGGATATACTTGAATATGCTCTAAGTAACACTGAAAAAAGGAATTCATTTGCAAGCATTAATACCTTCCTGTCACTAATTTCTCGCCACATGGCTGTGGATGAGAATTGCTCTAGGACTGGGTTTCCGCTCACATGGGCCTGGGGTCCCGGCAGCCTCTACCGGCCTTGCCAACTCCTTCTCCTGATGGGAGGGACCCTTTGCCCTGTATTTCCAACCACAGATTTTGCATCCTGCTCTGTTGGGGCACATCACCAGTGTTTTTTCTGTGATTTATGGGACAAGCCGCCGAATTCTCCTTTTGCCTAAGTTACTTCCAACTGTGTTTCCGTCATTTATACATGGGGTCAGGCAGAAGTTTGCTATGATGGGATTGGAGCTGCTGGGACCAGTCTAGCAGCTGGGATGGTGACCCCATGCCGGGTCAAGCCCACTCCTGTCACCCCCAAAAGAAGAATATTTTGAGGAATGTAAAAATTGCATGGGATTCAGTTTCAGGGACCATAACTAAAGTTTTATGCCAACACAATCATGTTCATGTATTTGCCTACTGTGATGGCTTTCCTGCTGAGATGGCAGAGCGGGGAGCTGTGACAGGGACCGGGCGTGATGCCCCCATTGCTTTGCACCCCTCCTAGTTAGAACTGCACGAGTGCCCCTGCTTCACCACACAGTGACATTTAAAAATTCTCTTTATTACCTGTGCACAATAAAAGTGCTTCTGGTCATCGTGACTGTAGTCATGGAGGGAAACGGCACACAGACCCTAACACGGCCAAGAGTGGACCAAGACAGGGCAGAAAAAGCAGAGTGTCTCCGTATATCTTGGGATTCCTCAGTGGCCTTTAGCGTATTATGTGCAATGAGCTATTTCAATTAGATCCTTAATGCCCCAGTCTTGAAAAGGTAAATGTTCAATTCTGAATGGGATTGCCATGATAACCATTCTCAAAAACAAGAGCGAGCCTTGCACCCGGATTGAATGATCAATAGCTTTGGTGCAGAAAATTATAGAATGGCGGGATATGGATTAAGAATTGAACAATTTCAGGGTGCCTGGGTGGCTCAGTCGTTAAGTGTCTGCTTTCGGCTCAGGTCATGATCCCAGGGTCCTGGGATCGAGCCCCACGTCGAGCTCCCTGCTCCGCAGGAGGCCTACTTCTCCCTCTCCCACTCCCCCTGCTTGTGTTCCCTCACTTGCTGTGTCTCTGTCAAATAAATAAATAAAATCTTTAAAAAAAAAAAAGAATTGAACAATTTCACCTAAAAAGGGATACCAAAAGGCTCTGCAGCCATCTGGAACAAGCTGGAAATGTAGGGATCAAAAGATCTGGGTTTCAAGTTTCAATTTTACCCATTATTAGCTATGTGTCTTGGGTTCTGAGTCTGTTACTAACTCTTAGGAAGGTTAATATTCTGTTATTCAAGGAATCAAAAGAGAACATGAATGTTGAGCATTTTAATAACTATAAAACTACCATCTGGACACTTCAAAACTTTTCATGATAATGAAAAGGTCAGAGAAGGTAAAAGAAGCCTTAAATACAATACAAATATATTCCTTAAAATATATTCTTTTCCAAAATTAAGAATATTTGATCTTTCCTAATCAGCGATAAATCCCTCGCACCAGTGATAGGTTTTGCCGGTTATGTAAGTAAATAACGGAAGGGATGAGCTATCAAACGCACCTGCATCAGGTAGCAAACTGTCAGCGTCCAGCACATGGCTGCGTTGTGCACAGCTCCTTGTCTTGGTGGAGGTTAGGTTGGTCCCATGTCTAGGTTCTGGACAAAGCAGAGTAGGTGGAAGGCCGGTCTCTTTCAAGTCTGGTCTGTAAAAATATCTAGCACCACCTGCTAGTCTGCAGTTTTCCTGATCTGACAACGTTGGAGGCCACATGTTCCCGAGGGCTATCATACCTAAAGTTGGAGGAAGACTGCCCGATCCACATCAGCAAGAATTTCATGAGCAAGAGTTAAATTTTTGTATTGAGCCACACCGACTTCGTGTTTATTTGTAACATGGCCCAGTTTATCCTAATACTTCGCACAAAGAACTAAGCTAGATGGGGTTGGAAATAGGACTCCCCACCAACCCCCCCCCCCAAAAAAATCATAAAACAAGGTTCTCACACTCTTGAGAATTTGATAGTGTATTCATGCCAATGAGGCACTGTGCTAAATTTAATTAGTGTTTTTTATTTCTTGTTAACAAATTATCTTCTTACCATGTGTCAAGCATCCTACTAGGTACAAATATTTCTGAATCTTAAATATAAGAATACTGAGGTGGACCTTTACCAGGGACTTATCACTGACATTACAGTACCTTCCAAATCCTCTAAATTCAGTTATGTGTAAATGTTAAGAATTTAAAATCTTAACCAGTCAAGTGAAATAGTTTTTGTTAATCAGATAATTTATTAACATTCCACTCCATTTTTATATCCATCCTGAAAAATATACTTAGAAAAGGACTAGAATAAACTATTTTAGTATCCTTATCAACATGCCCCAAATCTCTGCAAATGCATTTTCTATTACATAGTAATACATGTTCTTGTGGGGAGAAAATCTTCGTTTTTTTTTTTTTAAGATTTTATTTATTTGACAGAGCACAAGCAGGGGGGAGTGGCAGAGGCAGAGTGAGAGGGAGAAGCAGGCTCACCACTGAGCAAGGAGTTGACACAGGGCTTGATCTCAGGACTCCGGGATCATGACCTGAGCTGAAGGCAGACGCTTCACCGACTGAGCCACCCAGGTGCCCCTGCAGGACAGTATTTTGATTGTAGAAAACAAAATGAAAACCCAGCAAAACAAAACAATGATAAATTACACAGTACTTCCCATAGGAAATAATGTAAAGACTCTTTAACTGGAAGCCAGCCATGTCACTGTCATGCACAGAAAAATCAGTCCAAGTTCTATTAAGAGACCGAATGCTTGGATAGCATTTACCATTCTTTGTTCTAACTTAGGTTTAGATAGCCAGTCTTCCATTCAACTCAGAGGCTCTCGGTGGCGGAGTGTGTGCCCTTAGCTGTCTAAGAACGTAGTCGTAAGCCCTCACATACAACAGGTACTTCATAAATGCTTATGAAAAGATTGATACAAATTAAGGACAAATACAGGGAAAAGTGTACTTACTAGCCTTTGTGACCCATACTTACCTTAAACCCAACCGAGAAACATACTCTGAGGATTCTTACAACAGGGCAATCACATGATGGGCTTGCTGGCTTACACTGTTCCGGTCATACACACTCAAGACCTCCTGGCATCCCGTCATGCACCACGGAACGTGTTTTCCTACAAAAGCCGTGTTACCACAAACCTACGCACAAGTCTGGTAAGCTAAGGTAGGAAACATGGAACTTTTTAAGTAATAAGTGTTTTAATTATACCATAAGGAAAATAATTTGCTGTGGACTATTCTGCAAATCTAAACATTTAATACATTGCTTCTACAAAAAACAAAAAACAACCCACTTATTAAGTTAAATTTTAATCTTTTAATTTTCTGGTATGATGATTCTTCTATGTTTCTCATCATCATAAATTCAAGATATAAAAGTTTAAGAGTAGGAAATAAAACCTTTCCCTTTTCTTTGCCACTTTTGTCCTTTGAAAATTCAAAATGAAAAGAAGAATTCAAAACGGAGGCCATGTAAAAACAAACGAAGTACAAGATTCCAGATTTACATATTGATGAACAAGAAAACGTTTATCAGGAGGACTTGAAACCTAAGGTTCCCTGTGGTACCATCATCTAATCACGGCTGAATATAAGACCGCAGCATAGCTGGATTATAAGTACCCTGCAAAATCCTAGGAGTTGCAGGTGTGAAGTCAGGAGCTTTCCAACATAGAAACCATTCCAATAACCTCGGAAGTTTAGCATGACTGGGAATCCCTTTGGCGTTGGAATTTACAGTAAAGCAAAACGGACGCTGCTAGGTCAAACATACTTCTAGCAGATCTATGCAGACTTTTTACCAAAAATACAATGAACCTGGCTGTTTCATTTTACTGTTTTTTTTTTTCACACCTTAGATTTCAAAGTAGGTCTCAAGGAATTTTTCTTTCCAATATGAGAATTCAACCCACTTAAAATGGAAACACAACAAAAAACAGATGCTCCTTTGTAGAAATCCACTGTCATGGAATGCATTATTCCCTGGAGTAAGATTTACTTTAAACATTAAAATGTTCTTTTCTGGCAAAGGTTATCATGGAAACCCCTGACAAAAAAATTCCTGACAAATGTATCATGGACTATTTTAAAAAAATTTGATTGCCTTTCTTTGATCACGTGACTGCTCAATTGTAAAAAAATTAAAGCTCAGCTTTTTTTTTTAAGATTTTATTTATTTGACAGAGAGAAACACAGCAAGAGAGGGAACACAAGCAGGGGGAGTGGGAGAGGGAGAAGCAGGCCTCCTGCGGAGCAGGGAGCCCGATGCGGGGCTCGATCCCAGGACCCCGGGATCATGACCTGAGCTGAAGGCAGACGCTTAATTACTGAGCCACCCAGGCGCCCCAAAGCTCAGCTCTTTCTTCTTTTGGAATATGGTATGATCCTAGAAATTTTCTATCAGTTCTAATATTTTAAACCGTGAAGAAGTGACCATGCATCAAACGGAAGGTCGTGAGTGGCTGCTTTAAGAGCCAGCTTCTCGAGACTATAAATGGGGTTATTTTTTTACAGGTGGTTTCATTAACGTAAGACACTCAGTGATAGTCTATCAGCCCTGAAAAAATGGTGCTGCTACTCAAACTCATATATAGTGAATGGACGACAAAAATAAGACTATTTTTCAGATGATGAAGGGAACAGCCATAAGAGTGAGTGTATGTCTGTGGCTGAACGGACTAGAGAACGGGAAGGCAGACGAGCTTTGCAGGATCTAGCCAGGCCGATCTGTGCAGGCTTCTACGTACACACAGGGTTAGGCGCTGAAGCTTTCTCGTAAAAGTCCTGGGCCTACGGTGATCATCATCAATAACGACATGAAGAAACATGCAATCAGTTCTGAAAGCGAGATGACCCAAGTTTGTCCAGAGTGGGAGGAGAATAGTAAGATAAAATCGGACGCTTTTTACATTGTCAGATTTATCATTAGCAGCTTACACCCTGAATTTATTGGCAACTATACCAAGCCCGAGCTGGTAGAGATGTTGCGGTGCTGGTCCCCATCCAGTAAAGAAAGTATCACCATAAATATCTTCTACCATCCCAAATATCTTAAACCAATATTCTTAAATCGTTTCATTCAAAGGTATGTTGTTATCTTGCCTGTACTACCCTATCATCAAAAGTCCTTGTAAAATTATATATAAAAGTCTACTGCTATAGAAATCTCAGAAATGTCAGGTTAGCAATGATAATTATCTAAAGAAGTTAGCTTCGTGGAACAGCTTTTGAGTATTTATTGCTCAGATGCATTCAAAAAAATTCTTGAACATAACATAATGGCTCTCATACATCTGTAAACAGAACACCACTAAAAAATGTTATTGGCATGAAATACTATAATATGGATGTGTAAAATTTTTAAATCTTAAAGCCTCTTAACATAATCGTGTATATCTATGTACAAAACATACATAAATTTCACTTTATTTAAAACATATGAAAGAGGAAATTTCAAATCACACTGTTTTAAACATAATAAATATAGAACTTGCTTTGTTAAAAATCTACAGTATACATTCAAGTAAAGGCTAAACTTCCAATGCCAACTATATATGAGACAAAATTAATCATTTACAATAATCAGTTTCCTAAAAGTGCTATTTTTAATACCTATAAGAGGAAACTCATTCTAGTGCTTCTGTTTCCATCCAAACATATACATTCCTTTATTCACAGAACCAGATGCTTCTGTTACTCAAAATATATATCCAAAGCTTTTATATCCTTTTAAATAGATTCAACATTTTAGCTCTTTGGGGGAGGGACAGGAAAGTCCAAACAAACACCTCAGACCATCTTCAATCATTAGATATGACTGACTTTATGACACACCCTGTTTCAACTCAGATGTGAAATCTGATGAACGTGCTGATGAGAACAATTCCAGTCCACACGTCTAAGGTAAGTCATCTTTTTCTACATGGGAGTTTGTGTAGGTCGAGGAACACCCACTGTAGCAACCTTCCTGTGATCCAGGTCTTGAGGCCATGCTCCATTTCTGATTTGTACCTTCTCTTCCAACCTGATTTGGTTTAGTTTCTTCAGGAGTTATATTCAGTACATTGATGGAACTGTTGGGAAAAGACAGATCTTAATAATCATCTCCTCCTCCTTTTATCCTTAAGCTCTGCCTGAAGGCCTACATTCGAAGTGCCCCCTTGTCCTATGCTAAGTAAATTTTGAGGACACACAGATCAGGAACAAAGAAGTGTTTCAAAATGGTCTAATTTATCACTTTTATCTTATATATCCCACCTATTTATCTGTTTACCCATCCACTTATTTCTTTGGTCTACTCTGAAGCTCTCTACACAACTGAAGCCTAAGATAGAACATGTGGGCTTTGAAAGCTCGTGTCCCCCGATGTCCCCATCTTCCGGCCACTATTTTATAATCTCTTTATTGTTTTCTTCTTTACACATCCATTTGCTCATGCATGCTTTCCTCTACCCAGCCATTCACCCACATAGCTATTTAACGAGTGCCTACAAAGGCAGTAAGGAGTCTGGACTCTGAAGTCAGATGGTTTAAGCTCATCCCAGCTGGACCGCTCAGCTATGTCACTGTTCTTCAGCTTCCCCAGCTGTAAAATGGAAATAATAGTATCTATCTCATAGGGTTGGGTGGAACTGAGTTAACACATATTAAGCGCTTAAACCAATGCTCAATTAATTGTGTCACGGAGTAACAATCTTAGTGGCTGACACAGACACAGCTGCTACCCTTCAGTGACACAATCTGAGAGGTATGCTCTGTGGCCAGCCACAAAACAGAAAAATCTGGGGCGCCTGGGTGGCTCAGTCGGTTAAGTGTCTGCCTTCGGCTCAGGTCATGATCCTGGAATCCTGGGATGGAGCCCCAGGTCAGGCTCCCTGCTTCTCCCTCGGCCTCTGCACACCGCCTCCCCCACTCACGCTCTCTCTCTCAAGTAAAATGTTAAAAAAAATCTGCCTAAATGATTTACTTTCAAATCTAACGGGGTAAGTCAACAAATGATACACTTTTATCAACTGAATATCTTATGTAATTTTTTTCACAAATGTACATTTTTTCCCCAAATGTGCATTTTTGTGTCTTTGGTTTACTAACTCAACCTCAGTGTGGCAATCCTAAAAAAAAAATGTTGCTTTAATTCTAAAAATCGAAACCCAAAACAATTAAAAATTTTACTTACGCTTATTTGCCAATACTTAAAAAAAAAAAAAAAAAAAAGGAACTTGCTTATAATTCAGCCCTCAGAAACCCTGCCATCTCAGACGAGATGGGATCAAGGAGCAACTAAATTCTCTCCATAAATTTGTACCCGAATTACTTTGTATAAGATTCCATTCTACAGTGAAGGAGGAATGAGGTTGTTGCCGTAGATATTAGCTACAAATACTCCTATTCGTTTTGCTATGATCTTATTACAAACCCAGATCCAAGGTGCTTCAGGAGCAAGGAGTCCAAATTTACCAAATAACTTAAAATTTTGAGAACTATGTCAGGCTCCACAGCTTCTCTCCTGGTAACTAGTAACACAACTCTTTTCTAGGTTTTATCCTCAGAGCCCAGTGACCATGAACATGAATAGCTCAATGGAGTTTCTTTATGCTCAAAATTCTGTTTCTATGCCACTGATGTTGTTTCGCCCTCGGACTACATGAGAGAGAAAAGCACTTTTACAATCCATATAGGTTTACATGTATTAAGTACTGTTTTAAGTGCTCTGTATGTATCATCACTGAAATCTCCTAACACCCTGTGATGTAAGTACTAAATGCTGGACTTACCTTTGTTAAGCACAAAATAATGTCCCAAAGGATTATTATGTCAGATATTTCTTAACTAAAAATAATAAGATTAAAAAGTAAGAATTGTAGAGACATAAAAATAATCGAGGCAACTGCTATATTCTCTCTTGGATACAGAATGCATTATTTGAAATTGGTGACTAGAATTTGTGTTATTTATACAGATCGTTCGGATTGGTCAAACTTGGGAGTTTAATAACATTCTGTGTAAGAAAATACTCTGAGCTTACAGTACCTTTTGATTGTAAATCAAACTCACTTCCCACACTTGATCTTAGCCAAAAGGCCGAGAAGCGATCAAACTCACTTCCCATACTCAACCCATCAGTTAATCTGTTGGCTCTAACTGCAAAATATATTCCAAATCCTGTCCTGTCTACCTTCATGTGACGACCCTTGTCTAAATGGCGACTGTCTCCCCGTGACTCCCCGGGAGCCTCCTAACCACATCTCCTGGCTCACAGCACGGGGCTCCTACAGTCTGCTTCCCACATGAGAGAACAGTCATCTTTTCAAACAGACTTTTTTTTCCCACTCTCCTGCTTACACATCTCCAGTGCTTTTCCTGTTGCTCTTAGAACAATATCTGACCTAACAGATACCGACTAAATACTTTACAAATGAGATGTCAGGTACGTGCATGTGTGTGGGGGCAGCAGAGTGGGGTTCTGGATGAACAACATGGTCATGAGTTGATAATGGTCATGAGAGAAGCTGGGTGATGCGTATACAGGGCATCATGACCTTATTCTCTCGACACTTGTATGTATCTGAACTTTTACATAAAAAAGTTTGTATCCTCATCTACTCACCCAGGGCCTTATGGGATGTGACCCCTGCCCACCTTCCACCAACCCCTCTCACCTCTTGGTCTTGCTCGCTAACACCACTTGCCCTCCACAAACACACCAGCGTCCCGCCTTTGGGGTCCCTACACTTGCCTAGAGGACTCTTCCCACGCTCTTTCTTGCCCCTCAATGTTTAGAGTCCTAATTCTTTTACAAATCAACAATATATTTTTGTTTTGAAATTCATTTATTCAACAATTCTTGGTCCAAGGGCTAGTGGGTTTCTTCCAACACTTAGGTCCACATCAGCCTCTCACTACCACAGGTCTAGTGTGCCAGAGCCCCGACCCCTGCTCTCTCGGGCACGTGCACTGTCTCCCACTTTGGTTAAGAGGAAAGATCACCACCACACTTTCCAAGGTATCCCTTTGCTCTTTTCTATTCCTCTCTCACTAGGAATGTTCTATGTGCTCAGCTTATTAATCTTGGAATAGGCTCTGAGGTAAAATATTGACATTATACCTTAGAAAATGATTTAACAACGTGAGACAGAGAAAAGTACCAAAATGCATCCGTTAATAGAAATATATGGGTTTCCTGGGGAAGGGGAGCAACCTTTTTTGACCCTGTCATCCCTGGGCACAGATCTTTACCATTCACGATGAGGACATTTCTCTCAGTTCTTTGCCCTTCAACACCAATAAAATGGGCATAGCAAAAGAAATTTTAAAATATATACTCTGCAAAGACTGTGAAAATATCCTTCTATTTAACAAAATTAAAGAATTCAAAATACTAAGCGATTCCTGTAAATGAGACTGTATTTTAATTATTTTGTATTTTGGACGTGAAATGAACAACATTATATGATCTGGCTCCCAGAAGGCAGGGACCAGACCCAACTCGTTTGCTACCGTATTCCCAGCACCAGCAGGTGTCCTTATATGATGACCACCCAATAAATATTTGCACAATGAATAATCAATCTACTAAATCCCTCTCCAAAGCCACTCCCGCTGCTAACACTACAGACATGCCTACTTGCCCCCAGCAGTGCAGATCCAGCAGTGGGACAGACCACCTGCTAGACCCCCTACAATACCTATGTGCAGATGCACAGGAACGCGTCTGGCAAAAGTCCGAAGTAGAAGGAGAAGCAGGAAGAGACTTAGTAAGTTTGGATGTGCAAACCGGAGACCCGTTAGACACACCGTGAGGCTTCTTCTGCCGTGGCCTCGAGTGCACTGTAAGACTGTCCCGATCAGAACCTGTGAAAAGAAAGAATGTGGACAAAGGCAGTGCATATGGTGAGGTAGCAAACAAGGTGAAGGACATTAGCTATGATGATCATCTGCAGGGGAGTGAGGTCTGAGGTAGAACAAGTTAATGTGGGTGGCCACTCCAGCCCCCGACTCTGGTCTAGCTAATCTCGCCATCTCTTATGCATATTCCATAAACATCTAAGGATCTAGTTTTTAAAATATTTGGTGATCTCCAAAGTTTTACATTAATAATGGACAGTATTTTATTTACATGCATTTTCAGATTAAAGGGTTAATGAAGTACTCACTTCCTGAGAAGGCACTGAAAAGTTTCATATTTTCTGAGTTCTGGTGGTCAAAGGTAGTCATATTTAAAAACTGTTGCTTTAACCAACTGGCTCTTTCTTCTTCAAATGCCTTTCTCTATCGTAACAAGCAAACCAAAGAAATATTGATCAACATTTCAACATTCACATTGTTGGCATTTCCCATCACTTCTGCAGCTGCTGGTGTTTGCTTTCTGGCTATCATAAAGATTTTGTAAATCAAATGAATTAACCTAGAAAACTAAGAAAAATTTCATTGAAGAAAATTATATTTAAGAAATAAAAACGACCCATTTCACCTAATAAACCAACTCATCACTATTTTCACACCCGTTTTGAGTAAACTCAAATGGACAATGCAAAAAAAACAAAAACAAAAAACAGCATATTAGCATAACTCCTGAGCATACAGAACATTATATAGAATTACCAAAAAAACAGAAAAATACCCACTGCAAATGAATCACTTGAGAAAAAGGAGCTGTGACTTCCCCGGGCATTGCTCTGGGCCTCTAACCACCTACCAGCATCAGCAGCCACCACCACTAAGCCACAAGAGGGCACATGTCAGACTTTCCCCTTCCCACCGGCCGATCATCCTAGACTCTCCCTCAGCCCTCAGGTCTTCACGCTTCCATCTCATCCTTCCCTGGCCCCACTGGCCCCAGAGCCCAGAGGCAGACAGATCCTCCTGCAGAGAGCTGGGGGCGGTACACAAAGTAGCCGGAGTATCTCTTGGAACAGGCTGGGAGACAGGGACCCAGAAACAGGTTCCCAGAAGTTAGGAGAAAATGCTGGTGCAAATTTTCTGAGAAAGTTAGCTATTGATAAGACAGATTTTCACAGCTGTGGAGGACATCCATGCTAGCTACTTAAACAGAATATAGTCTTTCATTCCTAAATACTAATACAAAATTATGCATCACCAGACATTTGAAGAAAACTAAGAGCATGAAAGAAAAACAGCCAAGATAACTGACCACAGATAACAGATAGTTCAAGAGACCCTTTAAAAAAAAATTCTAACACAAATGATTAGATTTATGAACATCTGTAAAATAATATAGTGCTATACATGGAAAAGCAAAAAATGAAGACATGAGAGAACTTAAAAGATAAATCTAAAATAAAAACTCAGTGGATGAAGTGAAGAGTTAAAAGTGAGAGAATAACCCCGAACTCAGAACATAAAGTCAATCTACAGATGTAGTCAGAAGACCAATCATTTGTCTAATAAAAGTGTTCCAGAATACAAGAGAAGTCAAAGAAGGAAAAAATACAGAATCAAAGAAAATATCCCTGAATTGAAGAAATATAGTGTCTTGAGGCTGAAAAGAAGCTACACCTAGATACAGCCTAGTAAAATGTTAGAACTTTAAGAATATAAAAAGGACAGAAGAAGGAGAGAAGGAAAAAACAAAGCAGGATATCCACAAAGTATGGTATATGTAGGTTATATATTAAACAGGCTCCTCATTAGTAAAACCAAACAGTAGAAAAAATGGAGTAAGTTTTGAGGGAAAAAAGTTGGAAACTAAATTCTATATCCAGCCAAACCAATCATATGAATGTATTTTTGGATATTCTAGAATTCAGAATATTTTTCACTCACACAATACTTCACAAAAAAAATTACTCAAGAAAGTAATACAGCAAATTGAAAAAGGAACCCAAGAAAGAAGATAACATGAGACATAAGCTGAATGTGAGTCAGGAAATCATAAAGGAGCTACAAAGAAAAGTCAAAGGATTCACTACACAGGGATATATGAAAGATTCTCTCCCAGATGGCAGATTCTTAGTAACAGACTATTTCCTAGGTGGCCAAATGTGTTACTAGGTTAGAGAATGAATAACATTTACAGAATCATGATGATATCAGTGTTCTTTCAAATGTTAAGTCTCAATCTTGCACAAAGTACTTACAACTGGATTACCTTACAGGCTAACGCTTGACAATGAAAAAGAAAAGCAGAGACAAAAACTGTGAAGTAGAGGGACAAGAGAAAGGGAACAAGGGTGAACCCAAGAATGTCTTCATCTTTCATTGTGGGGACAAACTGATACTGTCTCAAGGGGAGCAGACATGGAATGGAAGCATTAAACATTCTATTTAAAGAAAAAAAAAAGGTCAACCAGAAGAAACCATTTTTAAAAAGTTAGTTTAAAAAAGTAACAATATAATGAAGAAGTCACGTATGTAGGTGAGAAATAGTGTAGATGAGAGGTAGGATAAGGATAGGAAATTTTTTATCTTTCACAGCAGGGGAATCAACAGACTTATCAAGGAAAAAAGGCTGAAGTACATTAAAGTTAAAAACATACTTCCCAGAAGAATTACAAACTTAGTGGTTACCTCGAAGGAACCAAACTGTGGAGATAAGAATGGGTGGTATTTTTTCACTTTTGGCTTTTTGTGCGGGTTTTTATTTTTGAAAACATGTTCACACATTACTTCTATAATTTTTGAAAGGGAAACATGTAGGTTAATACATCGTTAAGTAAAAAAGCGAGCTGTGGAAGGTGTTTGCACACATCGCTGGGTGGTGGTGGGGAGAACTTCTGTTCTGTACTCCCCTCCCTCCTTCCCTCCTTTTTAAACAACAAACAGGCTCTCGGTTGCACGGTCTTTTGACGCTGCACCTACTGACAGTGGACAGGTCACAAATGTCCAAGAAAGATCTCCTGTGGGAAGCTAAACACTTACCAGTAGAAAGCCAACCCAGAGGGGATAATGGAGGCTTACGGTTTTCTAAAAAAAAAAAAAGTTTCAATTCCCAAATCTGGTAAAGGCAGAACGATACCCTTTCTAAAGTAGTTCACGTGCTTCCAATCCCTTCCAGTTCACGTTATTTGTAAGATCACTGGTAAACTACTTGACAAAAAAACAAACTGGACAGCAAGGAAACGATGAAAGGCAGAACTTGGATGCATTCCGCTGGGCCTCCCAGAACTTTCAAAAGCTCTGCAAGGAAAGCTACTCCTTGAAAATACCTCCAATCCTAGGCGAATAGCCGCGTCTGTAAAGCTTCGTCTTTCCTTCTCAAAATTCTTTTTTTGCTCTTTAAACAGGGACCACTCTTCCTTGAGGCGCTCCTTTTCCTCCAGCAAGTAACAGTCTCGGAGCAGTGAGGTGGTATCATCATCACATGCAGTAGCCAGCTGCTGCTATTAAATTTTAAAACATAGTAAGTTCCAGAGGGTCCCTGCAATGCTCCCAGTTAAAATTAAAGCAAAGGAAGCAGGGTCAAACTTTAGGGGAAGGACAGAAACGGTGGAAAACCAGAAAGTCAACGGAGGATTCTCGTTTTGCAGCTGGCGAAGCCCCGCCTGAGGAATGGCCTGCGTTCTACCTGTTAGCAAGCGAAGAACTTAGAGCAGAGAAATGACAAACACTACAGATCTTCTGAAAAACGGGAATAAAAATCTAGTAAGGCATAAAATCCTGGCCATTCTCATGGGAAAACAGCTTGAAAAGGCAACTCACATTTACCTGTAAAAGCTGCTGCTGAGTTTTAATCATTTCTTTACACTGCTGAATTTCTAACTCGAGTTTTTCAGTTTCTTGTTCGTGGTCTTGTCGTGAGATTACGTCTTCATCATTAAAACCTTCTAGGTGTACCTTTGAAACTAACATAAAACCAGTCATTTGACATAGGCTTTACACCACTCAGTTTATGGTGTTTTTTGAATTATATTTAAAAATCAAGGCTCTCAGAATTTTTCTGGAATCTCATAGGCTTTCTAAAAGGTACTTATTCCCTTTGCCCTTTAAAAATTTCATAAGCTATAATAATACAACTATATTTATAGTATTTTAGCACTATGAAAAAAAATTTTTTTTTTTAGCACTATGAAAAAATTTAAAAAGCAAAGCAACTTATTATAAGGGATTCATGACAACTACAAATTCGTACTATTTTTGGACTAAAATGATATCTTTACTAATAGCTCTACTATGAACATTTAATTTGAAATCCATATTTATTCAAGACTATGTCCTAATTAAAAATGGACAACCTATAAGCATCTGCCTTTGGCTCAGGTCATGATCCCAGAGTCCAGGGATCGAGCCCTGCATTGGGCTCCCTGCTCAGTGGGAAGCCTGCTTCTCCCTCTGCCCCCCACCCTGCTCGTGCTCTCTCTCTCACTTGCTCACTCACTCTCTCAAATAAATTAAAAAAATCTTTAAAAAAATGGACAACCTATATTCACAAAAGAGAAAAATAATTAACAAATCCATAAACTACTTTTGACTCTTCTTCAAAGATCAATGCAGTGCTACAAATCTTGCAAATTCCTATTTAACAAACAGGAAGTCCAAACATACTTGCCATTTACTAAGAGATGGCAACTGAAATCAATAAAATCTCATGTAAATTAATTTTAGTACAAAATTTTGCTGATTACCCTTTACTACTAAAGACAATTGACAGTTATCTTGTGACTTTTGACATTCAGAATAAATTTTCTTTCAACAGACTTCATTTACCGAGCAGAAACCTTAATTTTCTTGATTTAAAAGAATGCAAACTTTAACGAATATAAAATATTAAGAACACATTCATCAGTGTAGATCTATACTATCTACAGTGACAGGAAATGGTGTCTAAAATAATACACTGTTAAATGAAAAAAACAGTGTAGTAAAAATATGTAATACTCAATTTTTGTTTTTATATATTTTTTAAAGATTTTATTTATTTGAGAGAGAGAGCGAGCGAGCGAGCATGAGCAGGGGGAGGGGTAGAGGGAGAGGAAGAGAGAGAGAATCTCAAGCAGACTCTCCACTGAGTGCAGAGCTCCACATGGGGCTCAATCCCATGACCCTGAGATCATGACCTAAGCCGAAACCAAGAGTCAGACGTTTGACTGAGCCACCCAGGCACCCCAGTTTTTTATATATTTTTAAATAAATATTTTGTGGGCGCCTGGGTGGCTCAGTCAGTTGAGCTTCTGCCTTTGGCTCAGGTCATGATCCCAGGCTTCTGGGATCAAGTCCCACATTGAGCTCCTTGCTCAGCAGGAAGTCTGCTTTCTCCTTCTCCCTCTGCTTGCTGCTCCCCCTGCCTGTGCCCTCTCTCTGTCAAATGAATAAATAAAATCTTTAAAAAATGTATATTTTGTAAAGGCCTACAGAAAAAATCTAGAAAGATAAGCACCAAACTGTTAAGTGTCATGTATAGGGAACAGAAACCTGAATATTCTACTTCATATACTTCCTAATTGATATTTTATATTAAACATCTATTATTTTGAAAATAATTTAAAAATAAATTAGGAACCAGGAGTATGCAAAAGTACCTAGGAATGATAAGGAACAGGTTCATATTTATACCATATCACGATTAATAATTCTTAATTCCCAAGATCAGTAAGAGACTCAGTTCACTTTATTCAACTGTACACTGCACTCAGAATAGATGGAGATACGTAATATCCTCTTTTCAGAGAAAGATTCACGGAGGGGCAAAGTATTTCCCAGTGAGGTTCAAACCTCACCTCCAGAAGTAGATAGAAGCTTGATTATCAAACCACCAAATTGAGCTCAAGTACTTCATGATCTGACCCCCTAACATGACTTTCCAAGTGACTGAAATTAAGAGCTGAGTGTCACAACTCACTCTGCACGCAGTGAGAAGTTACCTTGGTTATCAAGTTTTTCTACATGACTTTTCAAAATCCTCCACTGTTTTCTGATGCTGTTGGTAAGCTGCTCTCTCACAGTCTCACAGGAAAGGTCCCACATACTCTCCCTACTCAGTTCCCCAGCATCTTCTTCAGCATCAGAGATAACCTACAAGCAAGAAAGATGAAAAGGAAAGACCAGTATCTTAAAATGGCTCTAGATACTCAGGCAGTAGTAATTAAACTGATCATCAGAGATACCTATCAAAAGCATTTCTGTGCTGTATCTTATGCATATATGACCTAATAATAAAAACAGAAATTCTCCAACTCAAGTCTCTTCAAATATAATTTGAATCCAAATACGGTTAGTGACAAGAGTCACGAAGCTGTGTGAGGAAGAGTTATTCACTACTTGTCCTGTATTGTGTTAGAGCTCTCACAAGCTAATTAATCCTCAAATCATGTTACAATGTGGGGAAAATGATGCTTAGAGAAGTAGAGATACTGCCCACTATCATACAGCCAAGAGGTAGAACTGAGATCTGAAGTTAGATCAACTTATCTCTAATCCTAGGCTGTTTAAATAAATAAACCAGTGAGATTATCTACAAAGTAAGCAACTGTGAATCCTATTTTTCTCATGTAATTTTAAAAAATAAAACTAGAGATTATTTTTCTTTTTACTCTACCAAGACATTAAATCATAGGAAAATACAGAAAACCACTGACACAGAATCACATAGAATCAAAGCAGGATAAAGAACATAGGGAAACAGTACTAATATATATTATGGCAAAATAATCTGCAGCTACATAGATAATGTGTGTGTGTGTGTATGTGTATATATGTGTGTGTGTGTGTGTGTGTGTGTATATATGTATATATGTATATATGTATATATCTGCATAATAATCTGCTAAGTTCTAAATTTGTTGTTAACATCCAGGAAAGTGATATACTTCCAGAGATATACCTCCCTAATATGAACAATAAAATATCTTGCTGGGGAAAAAAAGAAAACCTATCGAAAATGAAAGAAACGCCGATCAGACTGTTCCCACAGGCAGGTGCAGCAGGAATGAGGGAGTGACTCAGCTGGGAGAGCTGTATCAATAGCCCCAGGTCAGCAAAGGCTGCCAGAGGTCAAGCTCTCCCATGGGAAGCAGGTTGGGGAAAGGCCCAGCACGGAGCTCACTGTGACTCTGATTCTTGCCAATCAAGCCTCTGGAGCTACTTGCCAGTAATTCTTCCAAGGAGCTACAACCTGCCAGAATACTATAAACCCATTATTTTAAAAATGAACAATAATTGCTTCACACTGTCCAGACTGAAACTCTGAAACCACAAAATGAAAATAAAAAATTAACTTGAATTTTGGGTATATGTTTTGGCTATACTTAAGCACAATAACAAATTAATGAAACCTCAAGGCTACCTAGGCATTCTAAGGTTAATCTTATCCTCTTACTATGATGCTCCAAAATCCTTAAAAGAAAGGAAGGACTGAATTAAATTGTAAGAGAAAAAAATTCTAGAAAAACAGATCTTTTAAAAACAAGAAATACACTTGAGAGTATTGCTTCTCCAAAGGTAAACAGCTGAATTTTTAAGAACCATACAGGATACTACCCTGGCTGCAGTGGCGAGGAGAGAGGGTCCTTGACTTACTACTGACTTGTGCTGCACACGGGCTGGGGATGTTAGTAAAGGCAGGGCCAAAAACTGAACACGCTGCGGGAGTAACGGAAACCGCTCACTCTGGAGAGGTATTTGTGCATGTGCCCAACAAAAAGTGACAGACTTTGAGAGAAAAGGCGGAGGTCAAGCAGGTCCCGAACTGGGGAGTTTAAAAGAACTTCAGGTAATGCTTTTTTAAAAAAAGAAAGAAAAAAGAGCTGGAAGGTGGGATGGGCTTAACAGTTAGACTGACCATAAGGTAAATAATCCCCTCACATATGTTTAAAAAACAAGTTCTGATGACTTGCTGATAATTAGCATTTCCCATCAATGTTATTTTCAGATTTTAGTCACTTGCCTGAATCCAGAATTTAAACATGGAAAGCAATTAAGTTAAAAGAAATTTTCACCATATGGGACTTGTTTTTTTCCCGACCTCTGCACGTATTACTCCCCTTGTGTCACATGCTTCTACCCCCAAAACACCCACTTTATTTTTAAAGAACCAACTCAAATATCCTTTTCTCCGTGAGGCCTTCTTGATTGCCACAATTCCTTTGTTCAGCACGTTTGTACCACCCTATTACCGCTAAGATATGTAACAATTACTTTTGCACATGCCCCATCTCCCCAAAAGAGCTTCCTGAAGGATGCAATGGACTGAATGTTCATGTTCCCTCGAATTCATGGTGAAATCCTAACGCCCGATGTGCGGGTATTCAGAGCCACGTGGGGCCTCTGGGAAGTGAGGAGGTCATGAAAAGTAGAGTCCTCGTGAATGGGACGAGTGCCCCTAAAAAGGGACTCAGGTGAGCTCTCCTCCTCTTTCCGGCATGGCAGGGTGAGGGTGCAAGGAGCCGGCAATGTGCAACCAGGAAGACACAGTCTCCCCAGACACTGACCCTACTGGCAGCCAGAGTTTGAACCTCCCAGTGCCAGAACTGTAAAAAATAAATTTCTGTTGTTCTTAACCACCCAGTCTATGGTAGTTTGTCATAACAGCCCCAACTGAGACAAAGGAAGAAGTCAAAATCCTTTTAGCTTTTTCTTTCCAGGGACCAGAACATAATGTACATTCCGCAAATTTCTGGACTGAATGATTAGTTGGTTCCCAAAGTTAATAAACATTTCACTCTGAAAGTAAAGCCTGCTTAAGTACACAATACCTAAACTATTTAGAGGATACTCAGCACAGTGGTTAAAAACATGAACACTGGGGTGAGACAGACTTGGATTTAAATCCTAGTTCTGCCACGTGTGATACTAAGGCCAATGGGACGAGTGTGCCTCAGTTTCCTCAGCTATAAAATGGGGATAATTATGGTATGAAAAGCATCAGATTAGAAGAATGAAATGAGACCGTGCTCTTAAAGTGCTTATCACAGTGTGTGGCACAGAGTAAGTCCTTGGAAAGTCACCTCCATCATCTCCCAGGCCATGTCTAGAAACATACAGGGACATTTTGTTGTTGTCGTCACAGTGACTGGGGGCAGTACAGCAGTGAGCATCCTGTCCAAAATGCCAAGGATGTCCCCACTGGGAATACCTAGCTAATGTCTGAATTGTTTGACTTAGCAATCCGAAACTGTATTAGAGAGGAAAGAGCCACTTACAGTTCCTGTACTATCATCTGCTCTTTCTCTAGGTTTCTGCTTTTGGGGAGAAAGAAGAGAAATCATTTCCTTTTTCATTTGCTGAAGAACCTTCTTAAGTTCAGCATTTTCCATTAGGATTTGTTTCTGACGATATTCATAATCATTCAAGAGAATTTTATACATTTCATCTTCATTCCTGAGAAAGAAACTGTCAGTATGAAAATGCAGTTACAGAAAGAAAATGCTGATGAAATGTATCAATTTAAATTGGACCTTACCTGGCCTCAGTTTTACCCGTCCTCCAGGAGCCTCTTTTTCCATCGGCTCTCCCCACATAATTTAAAACTTCCATAGCTACAAACATGAACATGCAAAACAAAACCAATTCTTACCATACATATGTTTAAGTGTATAAAACCCTAACACACTCTATACACACTGGAGACATAAGTCAACCTGGTATAGATTAGGATTTGGGCTCAAACAGTCCAGATTTCAAGCTCCAGTTCTCCATCACTGATAAGCCCTGAGACCTTAACCAGTTATTTAACTACTAAAGTATGAATGAAGAAACAATACAGAGGGAATGATGAAAGTATCTACCCAAAAGTTGTTGTGAACAGTAAAAGAAGTTGTTAAAACAGTTAAAGTACTTGTAAATATTATTTTATTATCATTATTAACTTTATCATTGGGGCTGGCAAACTCCGGCCTGCAGGCCAGCTGCCTGATTTTCTAAATAAAGTTTTATTAGAACACTGCCACACCATTTGTTTATATAGTTTCATGCTACAAGTGCAGGGATGGAAAGTTGTGACCAGAGACTACAGACCCCACAAACCTGAACATATTTACTATTAGAAGCTTTACAGAAAAAGCCTGCCAAGCCCTGTGTTGTCATCATCATCAAAGGAGTCAAGGCCCCTGTGTATTAATTTCTCTTCTGTCCCAGGGGGATGGATGCAGTTGGCATTAGAAGGAAGTAAGATGACACTAAGTTACTGTAATTTTAGACTTGATGAAATCATTATGAGCCTGTCACTTCCAGTTAGGTATGGACTAGGAAACAGCCAGACTCCCATAAAATAAGGGCTCTGTTACCAGAGTTCCATCTTTAATAAACTTCTCTAATTAGGTGTTACATTTTATACTTCCAGCATTTCATCCTGCTCTGTATATAATTCATGAATGAACACGAGGTTAACCAATGAAATTTAAATTTGATTACCTACAGATTTTCCAACCTTGTCTTAATTGCTTACTACACTTTCATTTTTCAGGAATTTTTAAAAGAAGATAGCCGACTAACTGCAAGAGCTCTGCTGTACAGATGAGCAGTGAGGCAGCCAACACCTAGCGGCCTGCTGACAGCCTGCGACGTGGGCTCAGCAGTTGTTGTGTCAGCAAGTCCGACCAAGCTCAGCTTCGGAAACCGCAGCTCAGGGCATTACCGTACAAGGCAGTTAGGGTCCACCTGGAAACCACTGTTCGATAAATCAGTGCATAGATTTCCTGTGCCGCATCTTCCCAGGCCAGCAAAACTGTATCTGCGTGGCCCTGATCGTGTGTGTGTGTGTTTCTACTTTTTCATCTATGTGATTTCCCTGAAATTATGGACATACTTGGATGAAGTTGCCAAATGATTTTCAAAAGAATGACACAAGAAAAAAGTACACCTTATGAACAAACATAAGCATAACATTCACAGTCCATCTTTCAGACTGGTTGCTTCAAAAATGCACAGCCACACTTATTAGAAGGAACTGATGTAAATGATTTGGTCAGATGAATAATTTTATGAAGTCAATTCTAAAATCACACTTGTTTTGATACTCAGAAACTCATCGTGATTTTTCATATGATCAGTTCTTGGCTATGGAAGATCAGAATATCCCCTGGCTTAGTTTTTCCTCTGTGGAAGTACAATAGTCATATTAAAAAGTAATGTAACTCTTACATGCAACAAAGGAAGCGAAATTATTATTTTTCACTAATGAGTTATCTCGATTTCTAGTTTATATGGATACACACCATCCACAAACAATTGCATAAAGCATAAAAATACTTCATGAGGTATTCTGCTCCAACTACTGACATTTATTTCTTAGCATATTAGCTTATTTGTTTATTTTCCTCTATCTTAACCAGTTGTTTCTTACCTATTTTTTTATCCTTCTTGTTCATAACAAGTTGATGTAGACGTTCCTTTAATTTATTATATTCACGTTCTTTTCTCTTCATATCATGATTATATTGAGTAGCTCGACTTGCAATGATATTTTGTAATTTTTGTACCTGAAAAAAGCATTTTCCATCAAATGAATCCCTTTATGATTGATAACCCCAGTTAAAATTTGTAAATTCAAAAAAGAAGTATTAGCATTCACCTCCTCATAAAATAGTTTATTTTAGGATTATTCTTCCTTCTCAATAACCACTGGAAATCACTTTTTAAAGTATCATTAAGTGAATCACAAAGTTTTTATTTTTTAATTCTGAAATTTCTAGAGCCAACTTCCTAAATTATTTTTCTACCACTTTTATGCTACATATAGACGCTGATCACTTAGAAACCAGAAACTTGTGCAGAAGTATTAAAGTGATTCAAGCTCCGTCTGAAACAAGAATTAATCTGATCACCTCTAGTGACTTCCTTACACTACCGACTTGAATCACTTTATTCCTTATCAATCTGCGACAAATTAGCCACAGCACGTCACAGCACATACACAGGTTTGCTTTTATCTGATCATAAACAGTTCTCAAATTAGAGTAAGTCCACACAGCAGACAGGATCCGACTCAAATATTTGCTGAGTACCTACCATACGTCAGGCCCTACAGCTCAAGGTTTAGATCCACTGTGGCTTCTCAGGGAGCCCTTGACAGGAAGTGTGTTCTAGTCTATACAAACATTTCTAATCTCTGCTGGAGATGACCATGTTTAACTTAATTCTTACTAAAGATTAACTATATCCAAATCACTTAGGTGTAATCTGCAGATCATGTCAAAATTTTCTGCGAAATAACTCAAGGAAATGCATAAGCAACCTTGCAGTTTAATTAAGATATTTCACTATCCACTAACTACATTACTAAATAGTCAAAATATGACAAAACAGTCTAAATCACTATAAAATCATTAAAGAAATAAGCTCCCCTAAAAGTCCTTAATTATAGTTCAAAAAACACATATACACACTGAACATATATTTTTATTGGTTATCACATGGTCAGGGATCAAACTGCAGAGCAGTAAGAACATAATGGTTTCTCCTTATAGAAATTAAAAAATCGTAATTTCAAACACATTAACTCTATAGATCCAAATACTAGCCATTGTAGCAGAAATGAGATTAAAATTATGATGTCTTTAATAATCAGAAATAGATTCTTAAATGTGAATTGCTTTTTTTTCCCCTAAACAATAACTCTTGTATCCATTTAGTCAAGTAATTAATTGCTTGATGGGATGAACAATGTCAGTATTTAATACAGAGAAAGAAGAGGCATGCCAGATTTAAGTATAGGTATGACAGAGAATAAAAGATCTGCATTTAAAGCACCCTTGTGCCTGAGAAAAAGTGACAATGCACTGGAGTCCAGGACAGACAGTAGAGGACACCGGCTGTCACAAGCTATGGACCAATATATTAAGCCCCATGAATCCACCTGGGGCAAGGGGTGCCAGGGAGAGCTCCTGATCTCAGTTAAATATGCTGCAATGCTGTACACAGAGGTCCACCATACCAGTTTGACAAAGGATGAATTAATGTTCTTGTTTTAAAGTGGGGTACGGTCACATCAAACAAAAAAAAAATTTTATTTAAACTTCATCTTCAATAACTGATAACCCACCTCATCTTTTTCATTTTTCAGTAGCTGATGCAAATTCCGGTTCTTGCACTGTAACTGTCTGTCTCTTTCCTGAAGCCCAATCATTTCTCTCCTGGAGGTTTCCAGTTGTTCCTAGAACATCCACATGCAACTGTGATTAAAATTAACACAGGACTCGGAGCAAATGAATTCTTCAAAGATTAGTAAAAACAACATACACATACTAGGGTTTCTTAGCTAAAACTGCAGTTTAATGGCACACAAAATGTTTACTTAAAACAATTATTATAAGACAATACTATAAATTTATAAATTTATTTAAGTTTAAATATAACATTTTAATTTATTAAAATACCAACATTTTTATGTTTATGCAAATGGGTTTCAAAGTGGAGCCCTAGAAAGGCTCTTCACTTATTCCAGTGATGCTTTCACTGGACACTTTTTAAATTTCCTTTTAGGAGTTTTTAACACTTCTATGGTACTCTCTCTGAGAAAGAACCAAAGTGATACGGAGCTAAGTCTAAAGAAGATGTGTGACCAAGCAGAGCAGCAACCCTTTAAGTCAGAAAGGGTGGGACTCCAGCACGACCCTCGTTCTCCCTTCCAAGTGCTGAGTTCTGAAGATTTTTTCCCAGAGAGGAATAGCAGCATTGCTGGAATCAGTATGAGATACGATGTTCATTTTGAATACATTCCACACATTTTCTGAGGAAATGTGCCAAGTTCTGCATGAGGCCATTGGCATATTTTTAAAATCCTCTTATCTTTATAAAATATAAAAACCACTCAAGTTACGCCATAACTGACCACAAATAACAACTTGGACAATCCCTGTAACAATGGACCGCAAGAAGATTTAGGAATTTAGAAAATTTAGGAATATACCTCGAATAACTCTAAAGGTGTCAGAATTTTTGGCACCCTCTTCTTCGGAGTGTTTGTGACTTCCTATCATGCCAGACCATTTGGAATGACTGAACTTAAAGGCACTGGGCCAGTTGCTATGTCCCATATATGTCAAATCAGATTCACTTTGAGTGATGATCAACACTTTACTTGAACTCCCCATCAGCCCTGCAAATCTATACACCCCCCTCCTACATCACTCATCTCATACCATCATCCCCTGTAAACTTGAGACCGAGACCAGGTCGGTCTCTTAAATTCATGACTCTCTTATTCCCCAAATTCAATTTTTCATAAAATTCTACCCATTTTACCTCCCAAGTTTGCTTCCTATTTCACTTTTTCTATCTCCGCTAGCACGACCTTAGTTCAAATCCAAAATCTCTCTGGCTTTGGCAGCTGCTAAGGCCTCCTAACAGCTGTCCTTTCCACCAAGCCTTCTGGGCTCCCCGCCTCCGTCCCAAATACAAATCTGTACCTTCCCCATAGTTTCTCCACCCTACTGCCAGGTTGATGTTTACATGACGCCCATGATGCCTTCCTCTCGCTTACATTCCTTGGTGCCTTTGTGTGTCTGCACAATGCCTCTCACATCCTCGGACCCCTGGGGCCCAGCCTCACCTCTATCGCTCTTCATCATCATCATTCATTTCAGCCCCTACAGAGCGACTGACTATTTTCTGGAAGTCAAATGCTCTCTCATACCTCTATGCTTTAAACAGGTTATATACCCTCTGCCTAGAATGTCTTTTCCAAACATTAGCAAATTTCTATTTACTCCTCAGATCTGAGATCAAGTGTTAACTCTCTGTGAAGCCTCCTCTTACCTCCCACACCAAGAACAACTAACGAAGCAAGTAATTATGGTTCAATGTATCTCCTTCCACTAGACTACAATCTTGAGAGCCGGGACTGGGGTTCAGTCCTCTGTGAAACCCAGTGCACCTGGCACAAAAATACTTAATAAATTTTGCTCAATGAATTGAATGAATCATATACTAGATCTAGAAGCTCTTCAAGGACAGATCGGCAACTTTTGCCACTGAACACACATTTCTGTCCAGAGAAAAATACCGGATTTTGGCTTAGGTCAAACCTGAATTAGAAGATTTCCTGGAAAACATTCTATACTCTGGGCTGTCCTAATAAGCAACCACGCTTTGGAAGGAAAGGCTAAACAGGCCTGGATTACCAATATCATTCAGCCAAGGTTACCCACATTCAAAAAGTTTTAATGCAGAACTGCGGCCTTCAGGGGCTTACAACTCTGAATCAGTCTAATTCATAAGACCCTCCATAGGTCTCTCTGATTAAGATTAAAGTATCATCCACAACTCACAGCCTTTTTATAACTTGGAGGCAACTACCCCCTCCAGCCCACCACAGTTACCCCCTCAGGAATAACCTCTATCCTTTAGGCATTGTAGGATGTATAAAAACCTAAAAATATTAAAGAGAAAACACTGTTATCACTTGGCTTAGCTTATGAGACAGTTAGCTTACTGAAATACAGGTCGACATGCAATTTCTACCTTAAGTTTTGCATAGCAGTTCTGTAGATGGTCCATATCACTTCCCAGTTTCAGATTCTGTGTTTCTACATTTTCCTGAGCTAGAAGATTCTTCCGCTGAAGTACAAGTAGCTCATTCATACAATTTAAAACAGCAACTATATTTAATTCTCTCTTTGTGTCTTTACCTTTGGATTCTTCATACAATGAAGGAAAACCGAAAGTAGTCAATTCCTGGTAGGAGAAAATGTTTTCCTCAAAGTTGGTTACCAGATGACTTAGTATAGAAACAAAAGATAGAAATCTTTTCTCAGAAATAATGAACACTATCCTGAGTTAAGAAAATTGTAAATATCCCAAAGGACAAAGAACTGAGAGAACTGGGCTCTTTTTAGCCTCTGCTCTACAAGTGCCTGTGTCCTGGGGCCAGGCACTTAGTACATCAGTAAAGTAAGGGAGAGACTCCTGGTGGAGAAGTCCCTAGAGTGATGTGGAGGCCAACCTGTCCTGACAAACACATTTACCATGTATCCAGACTAAATGATCACCACGGTTCTTTGCCTATCTAGTTATGTTACATAACAGGCCAATACATAACAACATATGTGTGCTTGACAAGTATTTTTCTCGTAACTTTGATATGTGCTATTATATAACATGATTTATGCTATTGCTTCTCACACACACAAAATTTTTTACCTGATCAAGGTATGAAATACTTTGTTCAATATTCTCTTCTGTGCAGAAGGCACTGAAAAAACTGTGCACATTTTTTGATAAAGGTATTGAAGAACATAGCACTTGCTGTGAGTATAAACTTGATGGAGACATCTTTGTTTCTGAGGTATATTGACAGATATTTTTGCTTTCTGAAAGAATAAAAGGCATTTACTCATACAATTTATAAAACATATGCAAAGCAAACTATCTCCATTACCAAAGATCTTGAATTATATAAATATTTTTAAGTATTTTCAAATTAAGACAAAGCTGTTTTTTGCATGAAAACTACATAAAGTTGACCCTTGAACAACACAGGGGTTAGGGGCACCGACTCCTCATGCAGTGGAAAATCTGTGTATCGCTTTTTTTTTTTTTTTTTAAGATTTATTTGACAGAGAGAGAAAGCGTGTGCACAAGCAGGGGGAGGGGCAGAGCAAGAGGGAGAAGCAGGCTCCCCGTTGAGCAAGGAGCCCTATGCAGGGCTCGATCCCAGGACCCTGAGATCATGACCTGAGCCCAAGGCAGCCCCTTAACCGACTGAGCCACCCAGGCGCCCCCTTGTGTATCCCTTCTGACTTCCACAAAACTTAACTACTAATAGCCTATGATGACCAGAAGCCTTACCAGTAACAAACAGTTGATAAACACATATTCTGTATGTTATATGTATCACATTAGTATAGTCTTACAATAAAGCAAGCTAGGGAGAAAATCATAAGAGAAAATACATTTACAGGACTGTACTACATTTATCGAAAAAAATCCGTGTATAAGTGGACCCACACAGTTCAAACCCATGTTATTCGAGTCAACTGTACTTTTTTCCAAAAAGATACAACTATAAAGTGCCCTTAGTAGGCATGTTAAGCTACAATATACTACCTTAACTTATAGTATTTCAGACTTATAAAAATAACAGACAAAAACCACCTGAGTCAAAGGTTATGGATTAAAGGAATAAATCGCAGCAACGTATTGACGTACCCAATAAATTTATTTCAAATGCATAAACATTCCTCTCCAAAATAATAACAATCAAACCCATCATCTATCAAAGGCACTGGACCCCTCTAATTATGGCACAATTCTTAGCTTTCCCAGATAAACTTTCTGAAAATAAAAATTAGATATTTTACAACTATTTATGTCTCTCTCTAGTCACATCTTCAATATTTGTGGTAATTATTTATAGTTTCATTTAAAAATTCCCCTTTACAATTACTGCTTTAGTCTACCCTTATTTTAGACCGTTACCTGAAGACAGATCTGGGTCTGTAACAGTCATCCACTCTCCCATAGCAGTCACCAGGGCCGGGCTACCTGAGGAACCAATTCAGCGGCTAAACATTTAGTCCAGCTGCTGTCACTCTTCTATGTAGGCATCTCCTTAAAAAGCAAATTGTAAAACAGTAACATTTAACTAAAAATATAAAAGCAAATATAAAATCCATGTGTAAAAAGAAGGATTTTGCATTATTTATTTCCATACACTCCCATACGGAACATGGTAGAGCTCAACAATAACCCTGTGCGTGTGTGCGTGCACGCGCATGTGTTTAAGGATCAGGAGTAAAGGGTTAACAAGTTCTACCAAGGCATTCACATTACTTCATTTGCAAAGTACATGATACATGATTTGACTCACAATATAAATCTAAGGTACAGCATTGTACTAAGTAATAAAGATTTCTATATTAAATTCTCTAAAATAAAGTATGAAGTATTTATACAGATAAGAGGATGAAAAACTTCTTAGCTAACATTTTCATTTTTTGTTTTTACTAACTATATTAGCAAAAAGAAATTTTAATTACTCTTCCCAATGTTGGCACAGATGTAGAAAAAAGCATACTTCCATACACTGCTCTCCAGAAAGATCACATCAATTCATACTACCACCAGCAATTTGGCAATATGTATCACATCTTACAAATGAAATAAATTTTGACCCAGAAATACCACTTATAACATTTTATCCTAATAAAATAATGATTTGTGCTTGCTTTGGCAACGCATAGACTAAAATTGGAACAACACAGAGAAGATTAGCATGGCCCTGCACAAGGATGACATGCAAATTTGTGAAGCATTCCCTATTTTTGCATATGGAATTTAAGAACCAAAACAGATGAACATAATAGGGGGGAAAAAGAGAGGCAAACCATCAAACAGACTCTTAACTGTAGAGAACAAACTGAGAGTTGCTGGAGGAAGGTGGGGGGGATGGGTTAAATGGATGATCGGTATTAAAGAGAGCACTTGTGATGAATCACTAAATTCTACACCTGAAATTAATATTGCACTGTATGTTAACTGGAATTTAAATAAAAACTTGGAAAAGAAAAAAATGATTTGTATAAAAATTCATCTACACATTGTTCTTGATAACATCAAAAAACTGGAAATAGCTTATATGCTCCACAGGAGACTGGTTAAATGACACATTTATACAACAGAACACCTTTAAACACAACCACATGGAATTAAGGTGGTTAACAAATACATATGAATGAAGGGGACTAAGTGTAAGAACCTTTCATGTAACTGTTTCACATACATTTTCAGCCTCCCATCATGTTTCCACTTTTTTATAGAGAAAATGGAAGAAATGAGTATTTCTCCAGCATAAAAAATTCAAATGAACTTATAAATGACAACTGGGAATTGATTTCAAGGTCAGGGATAGAAGGCAGAGTGATGACTAGAGGCAAACTGGAGAACACATGCCACCGCTTTGGACACCTGCTTCTCAGCTACAATAAACTGCGGCCAAAAGAGAAAGCAGGTCGTGTGTTGCTATCTTTCCATCTTTCAAGGGATGTTGGAATTCTGGATTTTTATGTGAAATCTCGAAATGCATAAACGTGAGAAGCTACTTAAAAAGATTATGCAAGGTATCCTGTGGGAAGGGGGCGTGGCTGGGAGGAGGATGTGAGAGAGCCTTTTGCATCGTGATCTGAGAAAAGGCTGCACAAGCCACCAAGTTGTACACTTAAGATCCGGGCACCTGACTGGGTGTAAGTTACCCTTCTAACAACATTTTTTAAGAAGCCAAATCAAATGTGTCTTTAGGCCAGCTCTGGACTGTGAATCAGAGTTCACAACTCCTATTCTGAATATTTTAAGATTGTGGAGAAATAGGGACACCTGGGTGGCTCAGCTGGTTAAGCGTCTGCCTTCGGCTCAGGAGATGATCCCAAAGGTCCAGCACCTGCATCGCATCATCAGGCTCCCTGCTCGGTGGGGGAGTCGGCTTCTCCCTCTCCCTCCCCCCCCCACCCACTGCACTCCTGCTTTCTCTCGCTCTCTCTCTCTCAAATAAATAGACAAAATCTTAAAAAA